CTATGAGTCGGTTCCGACTAGATGGCACCTGACAACAACATAGGGTTCTCAAGGCTATAAGTCTTTCTTAAAGCCTGTTGCCTCCTTTTTCTACTGCATAGTGTGTTATGGGCTCAAACCACAGACCTTTCAGTTAACAGCTGCGTGCTTAACTACTGCTCCACCAGTCTCATTACCATTTGAAAAAGATTGTGTGTGATTGACAATTCATACTGCTGTTTTTTTTATCGCTATGCTTATTTATTCTGTAATATTAAGATCATTTTACATGTAAAAGCTTGATCCTGTCTAAGGTGGGAACCTGTCAGAGAAAACTCAAAACAATTTCCCCCAACAGAGAGCGATAGGAAAGTACCAAGGTTATACTCTGTCTGTGGCAGAAAACTTGCAGGACCCATAAATAAAGCAAGACATTCCTTCAATGTGATTCTTGCAGGTTTCACTGTACACAGAAGCTTATTCATCCTCAAGCATACATTGCAGCATTCATCATTTGTTTTCCTACTTTAGTGAAGTTTTTTCATAACAAGTTGATCTTTGAATAATAATTTTATTAACTTTTTCTTTGTGGTTTCTGCTTTGGAACTTCAGTTCTTTGAAGTTCAAGTTATAATATCTGGGAAGGGATTGTTTCTTGGCCACGCTTTTTATTCCAAGATATGTCTTTTGTTTTGAATTCAGGATATGAAGAAGCATGTGGATGAAGAAGTTTCTGAATTCCTAAAGTTTTTGCAGAATTCTGCTAAGAAATGTGCACAGGATTATAACATGCTTTCTGAAGACGCTCGTCAATTCACAGAGGTAAAAAAAAAAAATTATGTAAACTGCCAATAGGCAATAGCAGCTTTCTGAAATACGTCTATGGAAATATCAGTATCAATATATAGATGAATTTATTCATCATGTATTTAAATAATACAAATAGTAACAACTCAGAATCATGTAATACAGACAGTCCCTCGATTACAAACGAATTCCATTTCTAAATCTGCCTTTATGTCAAATGTGTGTGTAAATCATAACAATGTAGGCAGTTGGGCGATGTCCTTCCTATAGGATTGCTATGAGCTGGAATAGAGTCGACAGCAGTGGGTTTGATATTGGGGGGGGGTGTACCTTCTATTTCATAAAAAGCATTAAAGAAATACTTCCAGATACACTAACCACCGTTAACATAATAACAGAGTAGTAATAATAGTTGATGTGCTGCCCATTTCTTATTATGCACCTCACATTTTCAGTATAGTAGGTTTTATGAGAGTTGATTCATAACTGTGTGTTTATAAGTTGACGTGTATAGCCTGGAGACTGCTCATGTACATATACATTCGGATGCACTTCTTGTTATGATCCAGCTACTGTTGTTGTATGCTGAGGAGTGTGTTCTGACTCCTAGCAACCCTTTATAGGGTTTCTGAGCCTGTAAATATTTACAGGAGCAGAAAGCCTCATCTTTCTCCCACAGAGAACTGAAGATTTGAACCTCTGACTTTGCAGTTAACAGCCCAACATAAAATCCATTATACTACCAGGACTCCCACTACTGTATTGGAGAGCTGTATTTTACTCTCATGGCTGATTTGATCTGATCCACTGATTTCCCTTGTGCTTTCATTGTTGTTGTTGTTCAGTACTGTCGAGTCAATTCTGACTCATAACTACCCTGTATTAGATTTCTGAGAAGCAGCTGGTGATTTGAACCACCGACTTAACAGTTCAAACCGACCTTGCGGTCCAACATGTTATCCTGTGGTGTTATGCCAGGCTGTGTTTTCATGGTTCTTAAAAAATCTGGATGGCCCTTTAGATTCAGTCACATAACCTTGTCTTCATTGTTTTCATGAGAACCACCCACCAAATGATGTACTTCATCTTGAGTTCATCTTTGAATGCTTAAGTCATTCATGAAAAGATGTCAGCAAGCAAATAACTTAGCCTACCTTAGACCCTACAATCAATCAGTGGGCCTAGGAGAAATTGGGGGTGCATGATGCTGCTGCAGGATAAGCACTTGTCTGCTAGCCACAAGGTAGGTGGTTCGAGTTTATCAGACACTCCACTGGAGAAAGATGAGGCTTTCTGCTTCCATAAATATTTTCAGCCTTAGAAACCCACCCTATACAGGGTCCCTATGAGTTGGAATTATAGAGCATATTACTTAACTATTATGCTCTACATTTCCAACTCATAGGGACCCTGTATAGAGTTTCAAAGGATTAAGGAGCCTCTGGGAGCATAGTGGTTACGAATCGGGCTGTGAACCTCAAGGTAAGCAGTTCGAAACTACCAGCTGTTCCACGGGAGAAAGATGAGGCTGTCTGCTCTCATAAAGATTTACAGCCTTGGAAACCCTGTACAGGGTTGCTATGAGTTGGAACCGACTCCACGGCACATAACAACAAAGACAACAACTTAACTATTATTATATATCTTTGTAACTATAAACCAGTAGTAATAAACCAGTATAAACCAGTTTCATCTACTACTAGCATGAATTTTTTTAAGCCTTTAAAACTGGTCATTATAAATTGGAGTGGGGGTGAGGATTGGGTTTACTGTTTAAAATAAGAACACTTTTTAAGGTGGAATTGTGTTATTAATATAAACCAGAAGAATTATGTAAGTCTAAAAGGAATTTGGTTTTTATATTCTCTAAGGAGCTCTGGTAGCGTAGTGGGTATGAATCAGGCTGCAAACCTTAAGGTCAGCAGTTCGAAACTACCACCTGTTCCGCGGGAGAAAGATGAGGCTTTCTGCTCCCATAAAGATTTACAGCCTCGGAAACCCTGTACAGGGTCACTATGGGTCGGAATCGACTCAACAGCACATAACAACAACAAGTCTAAATATTATACACTAAGCAGGAATGTCATAGTTTCTATGGCATAATGCAGAGAAAAGAAAATGCGTGAACTACAATTATACAGAACACAGGAGAATCTCAGATAGCTTGTGCAAGGACCAGAGCAGTATTTTTAAATATATCTCTGTCTGTCTGTCTGTCTGTCTGTCTGTCTGTCTGTCTGTCGTATCTATTTAGCCTCTCATTTTCCTTTAGAATAGCTTTGTCTCTCACTCATGAAAAACAGTCTATGTGAAGTTCTGCAGTACCACATAAGAATTTATGCCCCCAATCCTTCTGCCCCCACAGCTTCATCTCCTACAGCTGCTCCACTCTAGCCTACTAGCCTCTTGGCTGTTTCTTGAATACTCCATGCATGGTCTTACTATGAGACCTTTGGCATTTTCTGTTTCCATTTGTACCTTAATTCCTTTAGGTTTCTCTCTGATCAGATGTTATTCCTTGTTACCCTATAATAGCATTACCTTCACTGTTATGTTTACCCTTACTGTGTTTTCTTTTGTTTATTGTTTTTTCTATACCTCTATACTGTAATTAACTGTTTTGTTCACTGTCATATTCCCAGAGCCTAGAATAGTACCTGACATATGGTAACTACTCAATGTAAATATTTGTTCAGTGAATATAAAAGTATTTGTTAACAAAGCACATTAATAAGTAGCTAATAATAAACATTAAAGTTTTATATTTTATTCAGATTAACTTGAAAGCAACATTTTTTTTCTTTTGTTTTACACTTCCAAGAAGGCACATTGATACTTTTCTAATGTAATATGCATACAAAAAAGGGCATAGAATAAATTCAGGTATTACTGTTAAGTGCTGTCCAGTCGGTTCTAACTCATAGCAATCCTATACAGGGTTTCCAAGGAGCAGTTGGTGGGTTTGAACTGCTAACCTTGTGGTTCTCAGTCCTGTGCTGATCCTACATAAACACCTATATTACTCTCATCTAAGTCAAGAAATAAAGCATTACCACTAACCCAGAGTCCCCCTGTGTGTCTCTACAGATAATAACATTCTCCCTTCTATGAATAGGAATCCTGGTGTGGCACTGTAGGCTAAGCCCTGGACTTCTATAACCACAGGGTTAGTGGTTCAAACCCATCAACCACTCCTTGGAAACCCTATACAGAGTTGCTATGAATCAGAATTGACTTGATGGCATTTAACAACAACCTCTCTTTTCCCTGTTTTTGAATTTCATGTGAAAGGCAATTTTTTTATCTTCCTTCTTTCATTCAGTGTTTGTGACATTCTCCTGTGTTCTGTGTAATTATAATTCACTCATTTTCTTTTCTCTGCATTATGCCATTATATGAGTAAATGTCTTTAGTCTTCTGCTGATCATAATTCAGGTTCTTTCAAGCTTGGAGCTTTTCTGAGCAATGCTACTATGAAAAGTCTTGTACATAATCTCTTGGTATGCACGCATTTCTTTTGAGTATATACCCTGCAATGGTAATGTTGGGTCAGACAGTATACACAGCTTCAAGTTTAGTAGACAATGTCTAGCTTTTTCTCAAGTGGTTGTACTAATTTACACTGTAATCATCAGTGTTTGAGAATTCTGTTACATCATCCCCGTAACAACAATTGATACTTATAAAATCCGTTTTAACCATTCTAAAGAATATGATATGGATAATGAGATTGAGCACCTTTAAGCAGGTTCCCCTTCTGTCTCCTTTTTTCCCTTCTAATGTACATATTCAAGAACCTAGGTCATTTGACCTGTAGAGTTTCCCCCTCAATCTGAATTCAATTATTACATATTCATAAGGATGTTCAACATATTTATCTTTGCTCTATACTTTCTGCAGCTTGACAGGAGCATCCCAGGCTTAATCAGACTTAGTCTTGCCAAAGGTTCTTAATTCAGCTAGCACACAATGTCTAGTTGTCTCTTTATGTTTGGCTGTTAGCACCTACTGATGGTCAATGTCTAGATCCACTCATGATAGTCTGATTTATTATTTATAAATTTTTTTAAGATAATTTTATAAAGATATACTTTCCCTTATCAATGACTTAGGAGTCTGGGGTGGCACTTCAAGATATTGCGCTGGACCACAAGGTCATTTTGAAATAGAAGGTTGGTGGTTCAGACCCACCAGCCACTCCTTGGAAATCCTATTCAGGGTCACTATGGGTTGGAACTGACTCAACAGCTCTTAACAATAGCAACAATAAAATCTACTATTTGGTTTTCCAGTTCATGTAACTCATCATGTAAAAGAGCAGATTTCTCTTTATTCTCTCTAATAGGCGATTGTTATTATTTTTATTATTATATATTATTGGAGTCCTGGTATGGCACTGTGGGTTAATGCAATGGACTGCAATGTCAGTTTGAACCCAGAAGTTGGCGATTCAAGCTCACCAGTTGCTCCTTGGAAACCCTATACAGGGTCACTCTGAGTCGGGAGCAACTCGACAGTAGTTAACATCAACATTATTATCATTATCATTATTGCTTTGGAGTTATACATTTGATAGTTTTCAGTCCACTCTAATTATTTTCCATTTTATTGTTCAAGGTTTGGCCAGTGAGAGCCTCTTTATAGTAGTTGCTAAGTCCATTTGAAAGACTGGTAGCCTTTGAGGTTCATTTTGAATATGCCCTGCTCTATAATCTGCCATTCCCCAGAATTCTCATTTCTTCTCCTTAGAAATGGTATTTCAAGACTGCCATCTGGGCACAACGGATGCTTATTGATCCTGGGTTGGTCATTGTTTTTAAACTTTTTCAGTGGACAAAGCTAGGACAAGAAAAAAACAATTCTCATGTGTCTCATTTACTTTATCCCATTTTATACTCACAGAAACCTCAGAATTAACAATATTAATACCACTAATTAAACATGTAACCATATAATCACAACTGCACCTGATATGGACTACTTCCATCCCACTAAAAGAGGGTTCCTTCCGTCTCTGGTCTCAGGAAGTGATGTCACCACTGCTTTTCTACCACCATGGCTTGGCTTTGCCCTCTCGAGGGTTTCCTAAAAAACTGGGTCATAAACAATGCACTATTGTATTTGACTTCTTTTTTCTCTTTGTACTTTTTTAAGTGTAGAATTCAGTGACATCGATTACACACACCTTGGTTTTCAGCATCACCACTCACTAGTCACATGTTTTCATCAAACAGAAATTCAGTGCAGTGACTCCCTTCTTGCCGTTCCCCATCCCTTGTAACCACTCATCTTCTTTTGTCTCTGTGCATTTGCCTAGGTATTTTCATTTAAGTGACATCATATAATATTTATCCTTTTGTGCCTGGCTTATTTCACTTAGCATAGTATTTTCAAGGTTAATCCATGTCTCAGATAGAGCAGGATTTCATTTTTCTGTATACTAAATGTTACCCCATTTGTATATATTGCATTTTCTACATCCATTTACTTGTTGGTAGACATAGGTTGTTCCCCCCTTCTGGTAACTGTGACTAGCACTGCAGTGAACAATGGTGTACACGTATCTGTTTAAGCTCCTGCTCTCTAGGGCACACACCATGTTTTTGAGCTTTACCTATGTTGTTGCAGGTATCTATGATTGGTTCATTTTTACTTTACCATATGTTTATACAAAAATTTGTTTCTGTGTTCAACTGCTGTTGGTTGGACATTTTGTTATTTCAAATTTGGAACTCTTAGGAATAAAGTGACTATGAACATTCGTGTACAAGACTTTCGGGGAAATATTTTTTTCATCTTCTTGTATAAAAAATATAGGACTAGAGTTGCTATATTATATATATGGCAAAGATTTTTTTTTTTTCTTCAACTATTGCAATTAAGTAAATTCAGACTCATGGCAGCCCCATCTGTTACTCTTTAAAGGCGATTTCCATGGTGCTGTCAGGTAGGTTAGTAGGTGAGTGCAAACTCTCTGTGCCACCAGGGGACTTTTGGGTCATATGTGTAATTTTATTAGAAACTGCCAAACTTGTTTTCATCGTGATTGTGCCATTTTATATTTCCACCAGCGATATACGAGTGCCAGGTGCTCTGTCTTACCTGACACAATAGTGTCAGTATTTTTAATTTCAGTCACCCTGATGGGTAGATGATGGTATCTCTTTATAGTTGTAATCTGAATTTCCTTGCTGAGCATCTTTTGATTTTATTTAAATGTTCATTGACTGTGTATGTTTTGTGAAGTGTTGTTAAAATATTTTGCTGATTTTTTAATTGGCTTTTATTTTTATCAAATTGTAAAAGTTCTTGATATAGTTGCAGAATTTTACTTCTGATGGTCTAATATTTCAGTATTTTCATAGTTAGTGCTTGGTGGATTTTTTTGGGGGGGGCGTGTTTTAGCATAAGAATATTTGCCTACTTAAAGTGATTCTTTGAATAATTTAGCTCTTCCCACCCCCTCCAAGGTATGTTAGCAGCGTTGTTGTTGTTGAGTGCTGTCGAGTCAGTTCCGACCCGTAGCGACTATGTATAGGGTTCCTGAGGAGCAGCTGGTAAGCTTGAACCACCAGCCTTGCAGTTCAAACAGCTTTGCAGTCTGGCGCATTAACCCACAGCGCCATACCCATTTTAGCAATAGCTGGGGATATTTTTGGTTTTCATAACTGAGTAGTATCCAGTCTGTGTCGGCAGGACTGATGGAAGGAAATGCGGATAGGTCCCTTGTGATACAATAGTGAATAATTGTTATCAGGACTGACTGTGAGGGTTGGAAATGTAAAGGTAGATGTTTTGTAGCAAGGAAGGGAGTGATTAACTTTGCAGTCTGGGAGTGGAGGTCCCTGGGACCATCAAGGGAGAAGAGGAGAGAGCGGGACCTTACCCAGAGAAGCAGTGACGCCAAAGATGGAGGCAGAGATGATGTCATGGAGAGATGGAGCAGGTGGGGACTGTAGACCCAGAGAGGGAGAGAGGCTGTGTGCTGACGACCAAGAGTGAGGAGGTGGGTGGGGGGAGGGGAGCAGCCCTGTAGGGTATACCCTTTGGTTGGTTGATGATGCATGGAGGGGATTGTAACCATGGCAATGAAATGATATACAATAGAATGAATGTAAAACTAATGTTCTCCCATGTAAATTATCATATAATTCACAATAAAACATTTTTTTTAAATGCCGTATATTAAGTTCTATATTCTGTATGTTATAATTCCCTAACCACTGTCTTGAGGTCTGTATCTATTTGCTGCATCTTCCAGTCCTTGCTCCCCATATCTAGTCTCTTGACTGCTTGGTAATTTCATGTGTGCAAATTTATGTTTTCTTGATCTTACCCTGTCAAAATGTTACTGTCTAAATTGTGGCTGCTTTCTGCTAATAGCCAGAGTCACCACTGATTCTCAACCATTGAGCCCCTTTAAGGTGCTGTGTTTACGCCTTAAGAGTCTTGTTTAGCACCCCAACCTGATTGTAAAACTGGTTGAAGCCCTTGCCCTCAAGCTACTTCACCTTTCATGGGGTTTTCTTACAGTTTTACTATTCCTGGTGTATTTATTTGTAATCTGTATAGATTCTCCTTGTTCCCAGTAATAAACCGATGTTGTTCATTTTTAATTCATCCAGGATCTAGTTTTAGTTTAATTTCTAAGTATGTTCTCTGCCACACTGCCATAAATGGTATCTATTTACTTTTTTTTTACATTTTAAACATGTCTGAAATTGTTGTTAGGTGCTGTCGAGTCAGTTCCAACTCCTAACAACCCTGTTCACAACAGAAGGTTGTGAACAACCTGCTCAGTCCCATGTATGGTAGGGTCCACAGTTTTCCTTTCTAGCCTAAAGTAAAGTTTATAGAGCAGAGTCATTTCTGGCTTTCTCTGTAATGGTAGCTTTATGTTGTTTACTTGCATATGCTGTTAGTGTATTTAGTTTTCAATATATCAAGGCGGGGGTGATAGGAAGAATCTGAATCGCTTAATTCTTCATTCACTATTAACTGATTTTCAAAGTAAAATAATTAACCAAAACCATGTTTCATTATATAAATGTTGTTAAGTGCCGTCGAGTCAGTTCTGACTCGTATAGTGACCCTGTCTAGGGTTTTTGAGGAGCCGCTGATAAGCCAACTTTGCAGTTCAGACTGACCTTGTGGTTCAGTGCTAATCATACAGCGCTACACCAGAACTCCATTAGATAAATGTTGCTGTTAATTGCCATCAAGTCGGTTCCAACTCATACCGCGCTTATATAGGGTTTTGGAGGAGCAGCTGGTGGATTTGAACTACCAACCTTGTGGTTCGCAGTCCATTGCTGATCCTACAGTACTGCACCCAGGAGTCCATTATATAAACAGTGATCCTTGAATTACTTGAATACCTGCCAATTATGAAATATCTTTGATAGTGGTGTAGCATGAGGGGGGAGTGGATGGCTTTAACAATCAGAAATTTATTCAATCACAGTTCAGGAGACTAGAAGTCCAAATTCAGAGTGCCTGCTCTAGGGGAAGGCTTGCTTTGTTAATTCTGGGGAAAGGTCCTTGTCTCCTTTCAGCATCTGTAGAGCCAGTATCCCTTGGAGATTTCCATACGTTTTGAATCAATCTTCCCCTGGATCTAGGAGTTTCACAGTGCAATGACCCAAGGTCCAAAGGAAGCACAACACTTTTGCCTCTGTCTTGGTGGTGCTAGATCCCCCTGGCTCTGCTCACTTCTGTGTCCTTTTATATCTCAGAGGAGACTGACTCAGGATGCACCCTAATCCTGTAGACTACATGTGGACTCATTAACACCATGTTGTTGTAAAGTGCCCTTGGGTGAGTTCTGATTCAGCAACCCTGTATAGCATTTCCAAGGAGTAGCTGGTGGGTTTGAACCGCCAACCTTGTAGTTAGCACTACACCAGGGCTCCATTAACATCATGATGTAGTTAAGCGCCGTCAAGTCAGTTCCAATCCATAGCAATCCTATATAGAGTTTCTGTGGAGTGGCCTGTGAGCTTGAACTGCCAACCTTGCAGTTCAAATCGACTTTTCAGTCCAATGCATTAACCACCCCCCAGCAGGACTCTATCAGCATCATAGAAATGAGAATTTATAATACACAGGATAATTACATCAAGTCATTGGATGTAGCTCTACTATGAAGTTACGCTTATTTCTAAAGGAGCCCGAGTGGCCCAGTGGTTAAGTGCTCAGCTGCTAACCAGAAGGCTTGTGGTTCCAACCCTCCAGGTCCTCCATATGAGAAAAGACTTGGCGGATCAGATTAGAGCCTAGGAAACATGACGGGGCAATTCTACTCCACCTGCTGGTGGGGCTGTGAGTTGGAATCAATTTGACAGCACATAACAACAAACACTTTTGAGACCTAAAATACATTCCCAAAGATTCCGAACATCTTCATTATAACAGAAGAAGAAAATAGTGTCTGAGAAGATACTATCTAGATATGTGTTTTCATTATAAATCTACTATGCTTTTGACTTTATTTCTCGTCATTCATATAACTGTTTTTATTGCTTCAAAGTATGCTTAAATTTTCATGTGACTTGCTTTCTTTGACAGTTACTTAAATAGCTAAGAAAATATAGTGTGTTTTCTCTATTTAGTTTTAAATTTTAATGAGATTGCTAATTTTAGTACTCTTGAATATCAGTATTTTAAGCAATTAGGTTAAAAAGACATTGTTATTAAGAAGGAGATTAAATCACATAAGAAGGGAATGTGTAGTATGTCTGGGTTGTTAAAAGCTTCATTAATGAAATTAAGCTAATATTTAGAATATATAATCTTATAGCAACATGTAACTTAAGATATTTTTATTTCATTTTCAGAGACGTGCAATACAAATGATTTTTCTTTATTTTTGTTTCTTAGCAAATTTTAAAAGCTTGCATTGAACAAGTGAAAAACTATCCAGAATTCTATACTCTCCATGAAGTTACCAGCTTAATGGGATTTTTCCCATTCAGAACAGAGATGGGATTAAAGTTAGAAAAGACTCTTCTTGCATTGGTAAAGTTTTCTATGTGACAGTAGGAACTTATTTTAGTCTGAACCATTGTCCATATTTCATATAGATAATATATTATGTTTTAAAATAAACTCTGAACGATATTGAGCTGTAACATTTTGTGCTACCGTACTCATAACAAAAACAATTGCTATTTTGACCAATTTGAAGTGTACACTTCCACGATATTAATGTGATGCACTGTGCTGTGCAGTCATTGCCACTATCCAGTTCTAGAAATCCCTTCATGGTAATTCCCCATCTCCCCAGCCCTTGGTAAGCACGGATAAACTTAGTCTCTATACATTTTACTGTTTGGAATATTTCATAAAAATGAGGTCATACAATAATTGCCCTTTTGTGTCTGACTAACTTCACTCAGCACATTTGTTTTCAAGGTTCATCCATATCTTAGATACGGCTGAATGCTATTCCACTGTTATCTGTATACCACATTTCATTTATCCATTCATCTGTTGATAGACATATATCTTTTTAATATGTACCACAAATCTGTCTTTTTATTATATGGATAACAATACTTACACTTTTTTATATTGTTTAAAAAAAATAACACTGTCAACTTTATTCCTTGTTTGTTATTTGTTAGTTTCCATCCCTAGCACTCTTGAATAATCATGCAAGTCAAGAGTCCCTTTTTCTTTCAAGAGATTTTAATGCCAGTCATATTGTAAGTAAGTGTGTGTGGAGAGGTTATTTTGGAGTTTATGTGCCTCATAAAACAAGAGGTTCGAATTTAAGGGAAAAAGATAAAGATTCAGGACACCCTGCTTATGGACCTTTTTTAAAAACAAAAACACATGGTTGTTGGGGCAGGCAGTCCTTATTTAGGAACTCTGGTGATGAACCCTATAGTGGGTTAAGAATTGGACTGCTAACCCAAAAGGTCAGTGGTTCAAACCCCCCTCGTATTGCACAGGAGAAAGCTGAGGCAGTTTGCTTCAGTAAAGATTCATAGCATTAGAAACCTTGTGGAGTAGTTCTACCCCATCCTGTACGATCACTATGACACAGAAGCTACTCAATGGCAGTGGGGTTGTTGGGTTTTTCGGGGTTTTTTTTGTAAATCTGACATTTTGTTATAGCACAATAAAGCATTTAAAGTTAAGGATTTCATATGATGAAAAGATACTTTTTTTAGGAAAATAATATTGCATCCACATTTTTGCAGTAAAGTATTTTTCTTATTTAGGGCAATGTAAAGTATGTGAAAACAGTATTTCCTTCAATGCCTGCAAAGCTGCAGCTTACAAAAGATAACAAAGCTACCATTGAAACACCAGAACAGACAGCTACAGCGATGCATGATGTAAGTAGCCGTGGGAATCTTTGGATCTTTCTAAGTCATCTTCTGTACCTCTTCAAACACATACAGCCTGACTCTTCTAAAGGCCTCTTCCAAAATTCCTCCCTCCTTTTCATGATTTTATCAAGTAAACTTTAAGTGTAATAAGTAACAAGTTATATGTTGTTTTTCAGGATATTAGTAAAGACCCCAATGCAGCAAAACTTGTTTCAAGATATCACCCACAAATCGCTCTAACTAGTCAATCATTATTTACTTTATTAAATAATTATGGACCAAGCTATAAGGAACAATGGGAAATTCCTGTGTGCGTTCAACTAATACCTGTTGCAGGTTTGTGATTTTCCAAGTGAAGTAATGTTCTCAAAAGGGGGGAGGGGGGCTACAGTGATTCCATCTCAGCTGTCTAAACATAACAAGTTGGTTGTCAAACACACAGTGAAAGTCGTGGAGTAAGGTGGGAGTTTCAGTAGACCAAAGGATTGACATTCATAAATGGATTATTAGATGTGTAGTATCTGTGATTGAGTTGGGGCTGAGAGGTAGTTAGAGAAGTCATTCTAATCTAGGCTGTCTATAAATGGTGGTGGAGTTCCTCTTTAACTGAAATCAAAGGAATGCAGTACTTCATTAGACAATTTCAAGAGTGTGAATTTCTAGCTACTGTCCATTATTGGAATTCGAATTATAATAGACCTGTGCATTTAAACTTGGGATAGTCTCTCCTTTGACAGAATTAACATTTGCACATAAATTTCTTGACAACAGATGATTCCCCTGTTTTGGTTCATATTTAATATTTTTTATCTCTTCCAGAATTAATATTATATGTAACAGCATAACTATGGTAAATTAAAGAATATGCTTAAGGAGACAATACTATACATTAGAATTAAATGTACTATGTTCTCTGGTAAAAATGTCATCACTTTTTGTAAGTATAACTAACCCTGTAAGAAGTAGGCAGTAATGACAGTAAAAGTGTAACAGTAAAAAGCAAAAGTCCACTTAAAAATTATATTGTAAAGAGAACATATTCTCTTACTAGTCACATTATCTTGCCTTGAGATCTGCAACAGACTTTAGAGATCTTTTAGTTCAAGGAGGTCAAATATATGGGACTTATCCTATCCTGTGTGTCGTACTGGGAACCTTCTATCATTCATCCTGGGCATGTTCCTTTTTCTAAAATATAATTACTAGAAACTAACCAGCTCTGTTTTTTATGTTTCTGTTTTAAGGATCGAAACCAGTTAAAGTAATTTATATTAATTCACCACTTCCCCAAAAGAAAATGACAATGAGGGAAAGAAATCTAGTCTATCATGAAGTTCCATTAAAATTCATGATGTCTAAAAACTCATCTGTTCCAGTCTCTGCAGTATTTATGGACAAACCTGAAGAGTGTATATCTGAAGTGGATGTACGTAAAATTTGCTTCCTTTCTTGTTTGTTCCTCTGAAGCATAAAATTTTACTGCCAGTTTCTAACCCTAGTAAATAAAAATGCAGGCTTTATATTCAGACTTAAAACTGAGCACCACTTCTAGCTAGATTTTAGACAACTAACTAATCATCCTTAAGTCTGTTTTTTCCATCATAAAGTTGGTAATACCACCATCACAATGGTACAGTAAGGATTAAGTTGGTTGTTTTTGTTAAGTGCCAGGAAGTGGATTCCATTCATAGCAACCTTGTGCACGGTTTCCAAGGAGCAGCTGGTGGAAACCTTGTGATTTGCAGTCCAGTGCTGATCCACAGCACCATATATATAAAATGCTAAGTATAGTCATTAATGTATATATACCAAGAACTCGGTTAATGATAGAGATGGTAATGAAAGTGGAGTTTTCTTTAATTGGTCCTGGTGTGGCACTGTAGGATCAGCAATGGACTGCTAACCATATAATGGTTGAATGAATGAATGAATGAATGGGAACGCAATGGCTATGTTGAATAAACACTGGACTATAAAGCACAAAGTTGGTGATTTGAGTCCACCAACCACTCCATGGGAGAAAGATGAGGCTTTCAGCGTCCACAAAGATTTACAGCCTTGGAAACCCTATACAGGGTCACTATGCGTCAGTACTGACTTGACACTTAACAACAACCACAACCATCTTAATTCATTTTTAACCTGTGATACATACTGTTGTTGTTGTTAAGTGCCATTGAGTTGGTTCCAACCAATAGCAACCCTGTATAGGATTTCCGAGGAGCGACTGGTGAGCTCAAACTGCCAACCTTGTGGTTCAAACCAACTTTGCAGTCCAGCGCATTAACCCACAACCCCACACCAGAAGTCCATGATACATATAAGTACTATTTATGTTTTCCATCTCTGGGGTCTCCTGGGAAACATTTTCCCTATGTATGTTATGTGCTGGCATCAGGGTTCAGGGTAGGGACTTACATACATGTGTAATATAGAAAGGAGTTTATTAATGACATATTGCTATGTTAGGTGTATACTGTATGAGGTTTTGCAGCCTGGAGAAGTGATTGTGTTAAACCTTTGTCTCTTTTGGTGTCTATACACTGAGATAAGGTCAAGTGGTGCTATAGGAGAAGCTTTCTGCTCCCATGAATACGTGCAACCTTGGAAACTCTGTATAAGGTCGCTATGAATCAAAATGGACTAGATGACAGTGAGTTTGGTTTGATTTTGGTGATATTGGGAAGCTGGGGTGTTTGAGATTAAATAACATTCAACTAAGTATTTTTCAGCATGTATTCCATTAGTGGAAAGTATTATAGCTATAAAATCTTACCAATAAAAATAATTCAGTAATCAATGAAGCAGAAATTTTTCAGAGACATTAGATTTTTCTTTCTACCTGTAAAGTTCTAGGAACTTCATAAGTTAGGGGTGAGAACATACAAAGTTCCTAGAATTTTACATGGTAAAAAAAATAACAAACTTTTTCACTAAGAATTTACCAATGTATTTTCTTTAGACATCTTGTGAAGTTAATGAGTGCCGAAAAATTGAAACTCTTGAAAATGAGAATCTGGATTTTGATGATGATGTCACAGAACTTGAAACTTTTGGAGTAACCACCACCAACTTGTCAAAGCCATCAAGTCCAGCAAGTATTTCTGCAGCACCCAACGGTAGAGGGGCTCCCACAGCCACCAAGGCAACAGCTGCTCGTGGGCCACCAACTGTACCAAACGTTTCTGCTAATTCAAGAAGTTTGTCTCAGATCCTGATGGAACAACTGCAGAAGGAGAAACAACTGGTGACTGGTGCAGACGGTGGTCCTGAAGAGTGCAAGAAAAATGATCAGGGAACTGAATCGTGTGGTAATCAGATACCAAATTCTGACAAGTCTTTAATAATGCAAGATAGTGAATTGACAACGTCGGCTGCCCTACAGTTAGAAAGTTCTAAGACTAAGGAAATTGAAACCGCTGATAAAAATGATGTGGCTCCTGATAAAGTAAATGCGGATGAAAGAGTAAATGTTCTAGAGAATACAGGCAATTCAAAGGAAAAGACTGTTACATCAGAAGCAGATAGAACCGAAGATGTACTTCATTCCAGTAGTGATACAGATGAAGACTGTTTAGTTATTGACACAGAATGTAGAAGTAATAGTACTGAGACTATAGCTGTTGTGAGTTCTAATTTAAGTTCTAAATCAGCTAGCCCAAATCCCTTCTCAGGACAGGCTTCTGCAAGTAACCAGACTCATACTAATGCAACATGTAGTCCTGAAGAGTCATGTGTTTTAAAGAAACCTATCAAAAGAGTATATAAAAAATTTGATCCCGTTGGAGAAATTTTAAAAATGCAGGATGAACTCTTAAAGCCAATTTCCAGAAAAGTGCCTGAATTGCCCTTAATGAATTTAGAAAATTCTAAAGACCCTGTTTCCGAACAACCCTCTGGTACTTCAGATGATGCCTCCAGTTGGCCAAAATCTCTATGGCCATCTGCATTTCAGAAGCCGAAAGGACGTAAGTACATATTTACAAAGAATTTGAAGTTACTGTTTTATCTGTGTCTTTTCCTTAAGTTTTCCTCATGCCCTTACTTTTTCTATATTTATAACCTGTTTTATAATCTTCGCATAATCATTTTCAGTCTACTAGAGAGTGTAGCAGTTCAGCTTTCAAAGTCTCTTCTCTATGTTCCCAAAAGTACGTGAGCCTTGTTCATCTGACAAACACCGTGGCTATTAAGCTACATCTGGATAATGCAGTTATTAACATGCTTGCTGCTAACCAAAAGCTTGCAAATCCGAGTCCATCCAGAGACAACTCAGGAATAAGACCTGCCAGTCTTCTTCAGGTCACTTTCAAACAACCATTGAAAACCCTGTGGAGTGGAGTGCAGTTCTACTCTGACACACAAGGGTTTGCCGAAGTCAGAATAGATTTAATGGCAGCTGGTTTTTAATGTGGGTCACCAGATAATGAAATGTGTACTTCTTCATTTTGTGGACTAAATGTAAAACTACTCCACAACTCTGTCAAGTTTTAGAGTGAAACTCTTGTTTACACTCTTCTCTCTTCTCACTTGATATGCTGACTCATTAATGTACACTTTACCTAGAATTAGTGAAAGTTAAAAAAAAGAGTTCCTTCAAGCTTTGACTTAAGTCTTTTGGCTATTCCAGCAAAAGTACACAGAAACAGTATCAGTGAACTAGACAGAAAGAGTAGAAAGTTAAAGTTGGGAGAAGCTGAAAAATAACTTTTTCTATGACTAGCCTGTCTAATAGAGAATTACTTTACCTTGGATTGTGCTGGATAAATGGAACCCTGGTGGTGCAGCTTGGCTTCTGACTGAAAGGTCAGCAGTTTGAACCCACCAGCAGCTCCATGGGAGAAATATGTGGAAATTTGCTTCCATAAAGATTGCATAAAGATTGGAAATCGTGTGGGACGGTTCTACTCTAGCCTACACGGTCACCAAGTGTCAGAATCAACTCAGTGGCGATGAGTCTATTTCAGTTATGGTGGATAAAGGGCTATTATTATATTTTTAAATTAAATAAGAACATATAATTATTATTTTTAAAGGATTGCCATATGAACTTCAGGACTATGTTGAAGACACATCAGAATATCTAGCTCCTAAGGAAGGAAATTTTGTTTATAAGTTATTTAGTCTTCAAGACCTGTTGTTACTCGTGCGTTGCAGTGTCCAGAGGATAGAGACAAGACCACGTTCTAAAAAACGGAAGAAAATCAGAAGAGTAAGTTATTTTGGAAGTTAGGGTGTTGTAACATAAGTAGATAATCAGCCAGTATTTAGCATGCCATCATTATGAAATTTCATCTTAAACTGTTGATCACATCTGTAATATTTTCAGGTTGAATGCTTTTAGTAAACTACGGGGATTCCTTTTAATGAGGTCAAGTTTCATTACATATAATATTCATGGTAGCTATCACCTTCTCATATAGAAAGATAGAAATTTTGTAAAAAAAACTATACCATTCCAGATTTAACGTAGGTTGGCACATATTCCTGCTTCCTCGGTAAATTTGGATTTCCATTATGACATAAGAGCCCCCTTCTCTCTGACTCTGGGAATCTTCTTGACTCATTTTTAAAATCCAAATTTTGAAAAATGGGACCTTCAGCTCCAAAAAGTCTGTCTAGAATTGTTAGAAAGCTAGGTCTCTCTCTCCTTCCTTATTGTCTCTTTTGGGACTTGAGATCAATATTTTTCCTCAATTAAAAACAATTTTTGCCACAAATTTAAGTCCTTATATCATTGTTCAACAGTTAAAAGCTGCTTTTCACATTTAGAAATTTGAAGTCTTTTAAAATTAGTTGGATTTTTGTGTTTGTGTGAACATGAAATTCTAGTAAATAAACAGGACCTTCTATATTTTAATTGATTATATAAGAAACACTGAATATTTCTTTCATTTACTTTTTCTTAAGGGAATTTTTTCATTTGTGTACATTTGGGCACAGTCTGCTTTGGGCCACCTGATGTTGCACTGTAGGTTAATGCACTGGACTGTAAGACCGATTTGAACCGAAAAGTTGGTGGTTTGAGCCTACCAACTGCTCCTCAAAAACCCTATACAGTGTCACTATGAGTCAGAACCAACTCAACAGCATTTAACAGCAACAATATAACTGTGATGAATTTAATAGCCATCAGCATGAACATCTTGAAGACATGTAGCATCGGTACTGTGAATTGTATGTTTAAGATTTCATCTCTCTAATTCTTTCTTACTATCTATCTGATGTATTTTGGCATGAACCTAATTTCTTTTACATCCTACCCTGTGAATTGGTACCACTGTGTATTTATCTGTATTTAGAAAGATGTTTATGGCTAGTATGTCATAATTTTTCAAAAGCCCAATTAAGTTTTGGATGCTTATTTATTTCTTAAAAGGGCATTGTCAATAAACATTTAAATAAAAATTTTAAAAAAGGGGATCATCCACTTGATTAAAGTGCAGTTTGTAAATGTATGTCAAAATTAGAGTGCTCAAAAGAATACCTGAATGGGAGTCAGATGTTTTTCTGATTTGTTAAACACAAAGAAAAAGTTTAAATTTCCCATTACTGCAGCTGCCATTTTGCTTAACAAATTTTACACATGATTTAAATCTTTTACTCACACGGAAGCTCCTTGAAGTTACAGCTTATTCATCAGTATTTCTTTTAAATGTTTGATGTCATAGAAATTCAATAAATAGGTGTGAATAGATGAGGAAAATGGAGCACTGGAAAAAAAGGACGATGGTGTTAAGGAATGGAACTTTAAAGGGGTTGAAGCAGTCGTTGAGGAGAAAATGTTAAGTAGGTACTATTTAAAATCTAATTAGGAAAAGAATCCATTCTCAATATTTCATAACTAAAATTCAACTTGTTTAGTTAAAACTTTAGACTATTTAGAAGTTTTTCAGCCTCTGATGTCCAAGAACCTATTCAAATCTGTGTTATAGTAATTGAGATTTTACTTTCCAATATCCCTTCTTTGAAAGCTTTTCCTTGATACATATAAGTTATACTTCAGAAAACTTTAAAATAACAGCTAGTCTCAAATAATAAGAGTGGAATAAGAGGGTTAATTTGAACCACAAGATGAAGGTGGAACTTACTAAGTCCTATAAATAATTATGAAACCGAGACTGTAACTTTTAATTATTTGCTATCATCTCTTTTTGTCTCAGCAAAATGTCCTAATTCTGAAATTGTAGTCTGAAATGGTTCAGAGATTTAGATCCAGTTATTTTAACATTTGCATTGGCATTCCAGACCCATAAAAAATCATCCTGAAGATGCCGAATGTGGAGAAAGAACCTAATGGAATTAATGAGAGAGTATTAACTATGAAATATCTACTTAGGAATATATATAAAGCTTCAAAGATTTATTTGGAAAATTGAAAACCTCTCAGAGGGAACAGCTGTTCTGTGCTGGCAAGTCGGTCTTGATTCGTACTTGTTGTTAGGTGCCATTGTGTCAATACCGACTCATAGTGACCCCCTGTGCACTGAACAAAACACTACCCAGTAATGCGACAACCTCACAATCGTTGTTATATTTGGCTTCAGTCCCTTGCTGCTGCCAACTGTGCCAATCCATCTCATTGACAGTCTTCATCTTTTTCTCCAACCGTCCACTTTACCAAACATGATATCCTTCTCCAGGGATTGGACCTTCCTGACAATATGTCTAAAGTATGAGACGAAGTCTGGCCATCCTGGTTTCCAAGGAGCATTCTGGCTGCACTTCTTCTAACACAGACTGGTTTGTTTATTTGGCAGTCCATGGTACTTTCAATATTCTGTTCCAACACCATAACTATAATGCATCAATTCTCCTATGATCTTCGACTCATAGGCACCTTGTGTTTGGTTTCCAAGGAGTGGCTAGTGGATTTAAACCCCAGCCATGTGGTCCAGCACATTATCCTGCAGTGCCACAGGAGCTAACAATTAAGAGAAAAGGAAATAGGAAATTTGATTTTTACAGTGCGAAAACTTTGTATTTCACTTCAATTTTGATGTACTAATGAAAAAGAAAATACACACATTTTTTTCCCCCTTTGGCATCCTGGAGATGGCAGTAGACTACATAGAGAAATTAAAACCAGATGTAAGGATTGCTTTTGTACATAGAGCAGTACAATCAAAGACAATTCCCCAAAGTAATTTTTCCCAGAAATACAGTATATACGATCATTTTTTCAATACACAGCTAAAATTAACACTATTCTCCATATTTCATTTTTTTATTAATTTTTCTTTTCCCAACTCTGCTGGTTTACATCTTTGTGTCCTTGAGTATATTTCTTAACCTTTTTAAGCTTTCATTTTTTTAATTTCAATTTACCAAGTAGTAAAATTATTTCTAAGCAATTATAATGCAAGCAGAGTACTAATTCCAAAGAATTATTATAACAGGCGGAGATCTGGTGTGCCCTGTATCTTAATGAGCTGAATTGCAAAGTCAGTTTGAACCGAAAAGTTCAAGCTCACCATTTGCTCAATGGAAACTCTATACAGGTTTCCTATGGGTCAGAACTGACTCGATGGCACTTTATAACAAACAACAAATATACAGGCAGATACTTTTAAATTATACTAGTACCAATTTGATATTTTTTAATTAAAAAGCCATTTTAAGTCCTTTTTACTCATTTTACTCAGAGTATGGTCCTTGAAAGAGCAGCTTGTTAAAATTTCAGAACTTTGGGTCCTACCTCAAAATCAGCATTTTAATTAGATCTTCTTCATACTATTCATATGTACATTGAAGTTTAAGAAGCACTGCTTTAGTTCAATACAAGGTTCAAATAGGAACCTTGGGTGTTGTTGATAACAAATTTTACTGAATTTGATTATTCTTACCATCACCATTGTACCAAGCCCATTAAGTTTGTCACTTTGTGAAAATCAGAAGTTCAGAAATAATGATTAAATATTTTCTAATATATGAAGAGAGCTTGAAACAATGTGGTACTGTAGGATAAGTAATGGCCTGCTGACCGCCAGGTTGGCTCCTCAGAAACCTTGTGAGTCAGAAACTGACCTCATGGCACTTAACATTAATCATCTTTGTGTAAGTCCTGTAAATCTTTTTTTTTTTTCCCCATAGCTGAAGTTGGAGAGACTCCTGTTAAAGTAGAATTTTCCTTTGACAAAGATGAGAACATGAGTAGAGTGAATCTTATTAGCATTATATTCACAGGGGTCTTGTATTCCATCTATATCCTTCTTTAATAATGGGTATTGTTGTGGTTGTTATATGCCGTTGAGTCGGTTCTGACCTATAGCGACCCTGGATAGGGTTTCCGAGGAGCGACTGGTGAGCTTGAACTGCCAACCTTGCAGTTCAAATGGCTTTGTAGTCTGGTGTATTAACCCACAGCATCACACCGGGACTCCAATAATGGGTATGTTGTTGTTGTTGTTATGTGCCATGGTGTCAGTTCCGACTCACAGTGACCCTGTATAGGGTTTCCAAGGCTATAAATCTTTACGGGAGCAGAAAGCCTCATCTTTCTTCCACGAAATGGCTGGTAATTTCGAACTGCCGACCTTGAGGTTCACAGCCTGATTCTTAACCACTACGCTACCAGAGCTCCTTAATAATGGGTATAGTTTATTATATTTAATCTATATAGTGTCCTGACCAGTAAACTCCGAAAGAAATTGTTAGATAATTGGAATCTTACTTTCCTAATGCTGGCATACAAAAGTATCACAAATGGGTGACTTTAAAGAACAGAAATATATTTTCTTACCATTATGGGGGCTAAGAGTTCAAACCAAGATCTTAGCCATGTTGATTCCTTCTGTAGGCTTCTCTCCTAGTTTCTGGTGGTTGTTACTGCCCATGGTTTTCTTTTGCTGATTGTAGATGCATCTGCCTGTATTGTCACTTGGTGTCTCTCTGTATCTATTCTGCTCTTTTGTAAGACCCCACTCTAAAGAGTTTAAGTATAGAATCCACCCTACTCCCTTATGTGACCTCATTAATGTGACAAAAGAAAACCCCTATTTCGAGAGTCCTGTTGACAGGCACAGGGGTTAGAGCATCAACATCATTTTTGGAGGGACACAGTCAATCCATATCACTAGTGTTTAGAATAAAGCGTTTGTATTAATGAAAATTATGACATTCACAAGAGTTAATGCAGTTATTAACGCTCATACATTCATAGAATGAAAATACTTTGCTGAAAGTATTGGTTCCTAAGACAGTATAACTCGTACTTTAAAGGAGCCAAATCTTGCATCTTTGACCTTTTTATCACTACTGATACTTTCTATCATATATTCCAGTCATTGCTTCCCAAGACTTCTGCTGTCAGTCAGAAGCAAAACACGTGCATGTAGATGGGATATGTTGGTTTTAAGTGGGGGAAGATCTCTTTTATCAATCTACCTCTTGCCCATACCAGCAAATCATGACACAGGTAGGAAACAGGCTACAATACCCACTCAGAGATGGTGCCAGACACATTCACAGCAAAGCAGTTTGGCCACACAGAATTTGGTTGCTATGCAACATGTACACCGCCCTTATTTCTGTTGGCATTGACTGAACCCTTATGAACCAGTTTGAAGCCCTGTTACATAGGCAAAATGTATTTTCTAGTAAATGAATACATCTTTGAAAAAGTATGATGACCTTGCATTACAGCAATTTCCAGTTTATGTGCTACCAAAAGTGGAGTATCAGGCTTGTTACGGAGTTGAAGCTCTGACTGAAAGTGAACTTTGTCGCTTGTGGACTGAAAGTTTATTGCATTCCAACTCCTCATTTTATGTTGGTAAGTTATACAGGAGACTTGGTTCTCCTTTTTAATTTCTGCGTAAATTGTGCATAACTTTTCATTCCGTTGCAAATACTTCCATTCTGTAGTTTGTGTTTTCAGTTAACATTCTTTTCTATTAAACCACCATTCCTACTCCAGAATTAAATGGCAGGATGGAGCTAGTAATAGCAAATATTTTAATTTCCTTCTTATTTCATATCTGTTTAACAAACAATATCTATTTAACAGTGTAAGTAACTAGAAATACTGATGTGATTTCTAACAAGCTTTTTAAAATTCTTTTTAACTGGTTTAAACGCATACTTGAAAACTTTCTAAAAAATTATAATAGTTTTTTAAACATCTTAAATATATTTTTGTTGTTGTTGAGTAGGGAGTAGGCAGGGGTTTAATTTGCATTAACTGAGCAGATTTATGTACAGTTAACATACTTCACGTGATGGATTACTTGCTGATCCTTATTGATGTCATTCTCTCCAGCTCAGTTCCTCTAAATCTCAGTTCCTCCCATACATTTCAAGCTGTACTTTCCTGAAGTATTTTCTTTCTTTTGATCTCTCAACTCATTGTCTTGTTTGCTGGTTGTCTTATGACTTGTTACTCTCCACTGTATTGCTCTTTTTAGACCTGTTCCAACTTACCTTTATACAATAAGCAATAAGGTCAGAGTCTGATGAAACTTTGTGTTATCATACTGTTCAGCATAACTCCTCTGAATGTAATTAAGTTCTGTGAGTATATTTTTCCTCCTTATTAGAGACAAAAAAAGGTTATTCACTTGAAAAAATATTCCCCATTTTGGTTAATATTTTCTCTGTTTTGTGAAGAGTCCTGGTGTGGTGCTGTAGGATAAGCACTAGGCTGCTAACCATAAGATCAGCGGTTCCTACTTAGCTGCCATTCCTTAGAAACCCTCCCTATACAGGGTAGCTATGAGAAGCTATGATGGCACTTAACAATAACAAGTCTTCTTCTTGAACTCTTCTGTGACACTGTAGGATACGTTAGAGTGCTAAACCACAAGGTCAGCAGTTCAGACCCATCAACCACTCATATTGGAAACCCTGTGCAGGGAGGGTCTCTATGAGTCAGAACTGACTCGATGGCACACAACAGCCTTCTTTTTAAGGAGCCCTTGAGCCCTTGATGGCACTGTGGTGTAAGCGGTTCAAACTAAGCAGCCACTCTGTGGGAGAAAGATGAGTGTCTGTTCTCCTTAAAGATTGCATCTCAAACCCTATATAAGTGTAGGGTTGCTGTGAGTCAGAGCCAAGTCAGTGGGTTTGTGTTTTGTTTGGGGGGATTCTCTTAATATTCCTAAGCAATCCGCTGAGTCCTTAATTTCAGTGATTTTAGTTTTACCTTTTAAATTTTTCGTTTACTTAATATGTGTATAGATTATCATTCTCAGAAAATTAAATCCTGCCCTTTCTCAAATAAGCATAATTATTTTTATGTCTGTCTAATAATTCTGCTATTTAAGATCACCTTGTCTTTTCAATTATACGTTCTTTATCTTTTTTCCCAATGTTATATGTCAAGTTATTCTTGTTGTTGTTATGTGCCGTGGACTCGGTTCCGACCCCTAGTGACCCTGTACAGGGTTTCTGAGGCTGTAAATCTTTACAGGAGCAGACAGCCTCATCTTTCTCCCACGGAACAGCTGGTCGTTCCGAACTGCTGACCCTGAGGTTAGCAGCCCGATTCGTAACCACTACGCTACCAGAGCTCCTTAAATTTTCTTTATTGAGGGTCAGATACTGTTCATGAAGAATTGTAGAGAAAATTCAAGGCCTAACCTGTTTGCTTCCTCTAGATAGGATAACTTTTGTTTGGTTTTCACAGGCAGCTTGCTTCACTAGTCATCCTGATTCACCTAATTCCACGTATATGGAATGAGATGATTTGTAGGTTGGCTTTGGACCCTAAAAGGACCAGTCTATTTCCTGCTTTTTGCTAGGGTGTAGTCTTTCAGGGTTTGTGCAGAAAAAAGTCAGTATAGCAGGCTGGAGAACATCTATCATTAGAGAGGCCTCTTTGTAAAGCTGTCCCTTAGGCTGGTGGCTGAGAACTTAGCTGGTAAGCACTTCCCTGTGCTGGTTTAAATTGTCTCTGATAATAATGGTTCATTGTGCCGAAACTGTTTGTTCAAACAGTGTGGTTTACTCTGAACATCTGCTTTTTTTCTCATCGTCTAGAGTAGTGTGTGACCAACCCCCAGTAGAGCCCTTGAGCACTGAGTCTCTACAAAGCTTCCCTGGCACATGACATAACCAACTTCTGGAGAAATTAAATGGGTCCAGTGTGCGGATTTCTCTGGACTTCACCCTTGCACTGTTTCTTTTTACTGACATTCCTTATAGTTTCTGCTCACTGTAATAATTCTTAGTCAAGAGTACAACTATATGAAAAAAAAAAAAAAGAGTACAACTATATGGTGAGTCCACTAAGTCATTATGGACTCCTGGTGTGGCACTGTAGGATAAGCACTGGCTTGCTAATGACAAGGTCAGCAGTTCAAACCCACTAGCTGTTCCTTAGATACCCTATACAGGCTACTATGAGTTGGAACCAACTTGACTGCACTTAACAACAACGACATGAGTCATTATGGAGAATTACTAAACCTTTAGGTGATTTGGGGACCTCTGACATAGGATCCCAATTCAAACCTTAAATGGGCCCTAAACACCAGTTTTTTCTCTGCTGTGGGTTAATGCACTGGACTGCAAGGTCGGCTCCTCTACCCAAACAAATATTTTTCCTCTCCTCTTTCTTGGTTGCCATTAATACTGTAATTTAATTACTTATGATATATATTGCCTAGCTTTGTGTCTTTTATTTATCTATATATTTCAAGCACCTAGAATAGTGTCTGGAGTCCTGGTTTGGTACTGTGGGATACAGAACTAGACTGGAAGATTGGTTTGTACCAGAGTGTTGGTGGTTCAAACTCACCATTTGCTCCTTGGAAACCCTATACAGGGTTACTGTGAGTCAGAAACAACTCGATGGCACTTAACACAACAAATTATGGCGGGGGTAGGGGAGTCTTTTAAAATCACCCAGAGAGCCTCAGTAATTGGGATACAGCTTCTCTGTTGCTTTGGAAAAAAAAAGAAGAAATCAGGGACAATGGATATTTACTAGAAGAATTTCAACAGAAACCTTTGTGTAATTGATGGATGGTGTTTTAAAATATCTTGCTTTAGTAAGCATAGATTTGATGCACTTGTTCATGTGCATCTATGTATCATTGTTCATCTATGGCAGTCATTATTAAGACAATAACAAAATGAACTGAACTTTGAACCAGTTCTTCAGGTAGTTGTATTTGTTGTTGTTAGGTGCTATCAAGTC